CACCATGATCGTGTGACTTGACGCCTTTAGATTTCTTCCATTGGTGTCACCTCACAAGTAAGGTCTATGCCAACAAGCCAACAATAATTCAACAGCTGGAAAATGAGATAATAAATATGGCGTCCCCACCTCATGAATCTGTCGGAATTGGTCGAGAGACAAGCTTCCTAACTGAAGGGTGTTCAAATAATTTGGACCGATTTTAAATGTGAATTAACTTTGGCAATTTCAACCACAGAAAGATTAACAATAAAACAACGTGTTAAAGTTTCAAGAGTGCAATTGGAAAAATTTTCTTCGAGTGTTGCCATAAAGAGCTCATTATCAAATTCAACTGAACTTCCTGTTTGGTCATCATCTTCAAGGCTGAAATTTGGCAAACCATCTTCTGCAAGTTCTTTCATTCAAACATTCTTCTCCATGAGCTGAGTTAATATTTCGAGTCACTTCACCTGCAGTCTTCCCTTTGTGAAACTCCTAAAGCATTATGTCCCTTGAATGCTCCGTTGAATGCTCAATTTTTAAGGGGGTTAATTTGAGTAATTAATTCAGTCAAATTATTCTGTAAAAATAAATTATATTAAGTTAAAGATTTCTAAATTCATACGATTATCAATTAACATCCTTTGACATTGTGGAATACTTTAAAATTTGTTTGAAATTCATGTAAAGGGTGTTCCAATACTTGAAACGATTTTAAATGTGAATTAAGTTTAAGCATCTAAGGATTTTTTTCCTTTTAGATTTAACAACTTAAATCTTTGACAATTTCCACCATGGAAAGATTAACAATCAAACAACGTGTTAAAGTTATCGAAGCCTACTATGAAAATGGACGTTCAAACAGAATTTGAATGAGAAGTTCCCAGGTTGCATCATCTCACGAAACAGCGAAATCAATTGGCCACTAAGATCGTGCGACTTGACGCCTTCAGATCTCTTCCTTTGGGGTCATCTCAAAAGTAAGGTCTATGTTAACAAGCCAACAACAATTCAACAGCTGAAGGATAAGATAATAAGGCATATTGGTGAGATCGAGGAGCAAATATGCAGAGACGTCATCAAAAATTTTGACCGTCGAGTGGATGTGTGTCGCCGAAGCCTTGGTGGATATTTGGGCGATATTATTTTTCGCATATAATAGCAAAAAGCTACCAGCAATATATTCTAGAATTAAAAAAAATTACCTACAATAAATTTTTGAAAAAAACGTTACCAGGAAATCATTAAAAAAAGAATTAAAAATTACTAGCAATACATTTTTGAAAGAAGAATTAACAGCAATAGATTTTTGTAAAAAAATTACTAATGCTTCCAAGAACATTAAATTTCGGCATTAAATGACCCATAAAGATGTTGATATGCTGCTAAAACAAACAAATCAACATGATCCAGAGAATAAAGTAACACTTGAACGAAATACAGAATGTTGTTTTAAAAAATTACAGCATAATGCTTTCGCCTTCCTTCCAGGAAATATTCTTTTTTCAATGTTGAAATCAGATGAATTGGAAGTGATGCAAGATAACTCCATTTGATAAGTAAATATTTATTTAAACTTAGTTATTTCTTATTGTCAATTTACAAGATTAATATTAAAATTTAAAAGTTAATATATAAGGTTACTGGACGTGGTTGTTGCCAAGAGGAAGTAAAGAAGTGTATATTATGAAAAGATTTAGGCTGGATAACGTGTGACCCTGGAATTGAAGAAGAGTTTAAGATGGTGACACCCGGGGAAGCGTTCTTTCGGCAGTCTGTCCTACAACGTTAATGTCCTGGTGAAGAAGCTGTCTTAGCAATAGAATACGAGGTGAATGAGAACGAATCGACCCCGTGTTGGTGGCATGGAGGGTCCAAGCTGTGAAGGCCTGAATTGCTGAAACTAAGGAATGCAGCTCGTTCACACGTTGGCCATATATGATAATTATTAAAAAGTAAATGTAATCTATCACAACACAATGACGCTTAAACGCTTTTGACGCCTGGTCAGCTCCAGCCAAGGTCTGGTGGAATTGCTGACTGTTTGGTCTGCGTTGATGGAGCATGCTGGGAGGAGACAGTCAAATCTTTCATACTTTCTACTTTTTTTTCTCTGGTGTTCATATTTTTTAATTACTATATACATCATATTTTTCATGAGGAAAACAAAAAAATTCAGTAGAGAGGGCTTATCTATTAAATTGTTACAAAAATTATTTGAATATTCAAATTCACACACACACACACACACACACACACACACACACACACACACACACACACATATATATATATATATATATATATATATATATATATATATATATATATATCACGTAACAAATAAGCAATATCTTGTGCCCGAAGATTAGGGTAACCAACGAAGCTTAAGTCGCACACAAAACGTAGGTATATGTATATTCATAAATATTTCTTAGCTCTGTCTAATCACATTGAGCACTATTATTTCTAAACCTCTTGGCAAAATTTAGTAATTATTTATTTGCGTACCTGTGTATGCATCGCCAACACGTGCGTATTCACGCATATACGACTGTTAATATCTAGTTATATCATTTACCTAGCCCTGTATATATATATATATATATATATATATATATATATATATATATATATATATATATATATATATAGTAATAATCCGTTGATATAATCCAGGCGAGTCCTATTAACACAACATAGAATTAGAAATATGTTAAAACTGACTCACAAAAGAGCGCTTAATGTTTATTCACAATAAACAGAGCAAATTTACTTTACAATTGGAACTACTATATCTTTAGTAAATGACCATTTTCACCTACGAATTTTTAATTTTAAGGTTCGAAGGAATTCTGGTATCGGCTTGTAGTTTACCAGAAACAGTTTGAAAAATTTTGCGAATCTTAAAATTAAAATTCGTAGGTGTAAATGGTCATTTACTAAAGATATAGTAATTCCAATTTTAGAGTATATATATATATATATATATATATATAACTAATAATTATACTCTGTTGGGAAAGAAAGTCGGATGGCACAATTTGCAAGTATGTCAGACCAAATTGATATCCGAGGAAAAATTTTTTAGATGAACAAGCCATTGACTGAGAGAACTCGATTTGTTTTATCGAAGAGTATTGCATTAGTAGCAGTAATAGTCACTTCTTCTCCAGAGTGCTCAACTGAAACAATTTTTCAGGAGCATATATATATATATATATATATATATATATATATATATATATATATATATATATATTCATATATATTATATATATATATATATATATATATATATTCATATATATATATATATATATATATATATATATATATATATATATATATATATATATATTATATATATATATATATATATATATATATATATATATATATATATATACAAATGACAGAAAGAACAAATGGAGTAAAAATCTACAGTTCGTAGCATTGACTTTTAAAAAAGTGCTCAATACAAAGTAGAGCAAATTCCTTAACAATCATTTAATCATCAGTTAATTACCATCTCCTGAAGAAGTACAATCAAAGTGAAAGCTTCTGTTTAGCGATTTAAAAATGTTTTCAGTATAATGTCTTATAATATATATATATATATATATATATATTATTTTTGACACAATACAACGTCTATGAAAAAAGTAAGAAAAAATATAAAGAATTAACGTAACGGAATAAAACAATAGAATAATAGAAACAAAAGCAGAAGAAAAAAGATAAAATATAGTTACACTGTGAAAAAAGGGAAAGAAAGAAAGAAAGAAAGAAAGAAAGAAAGAAAGAAAGAAAGAAAGAGTAAGAAATAAAGAAAAGAAAGAAATTAAAACTTAAAAAAAAATGAAGGGGAAGTGAAAAGAAGAAAGAAGAAAGGAAGGCGATAGAATACAGATTGCAAAAAGATTGAAACCGTAAGTAGATAGAAAGAGAGAATAGAAAAGAGCAAAGTAAATAGAAAAGATAAAAGAAAGAAAGAAAGAAAGAAAGAAAGAAAGAAAGAAAGAAAGAAAAAACAAAGCATGAAGAGAAATGTATAAAGAAGAACGAAAGCCAACAGAATACAGAAAATAGATAGTAACATAGTGAAAAAGAAAGAAAGAAAGAAAGAAGAAAGAAAGAAAACAGGAAGAAAGAGGAAAAGAGAAAAGGAAAAAGAATAAAGAAAGGCAATAATCTACAGAAAAAAAGAACCATATTGCGATAGAAAAAGAGAATAGAAAAGAAAAAAGAAAGAAAGAGAGAAAGAAAGAAAGAATTAAAGCAGCAGAATAAAAAAAAGAAAGAGAAAAGCCACCGTATGCAGATAGAAAGGGGGAACAGAAAAGAGCAAAGGAAATAGAAAAGATAAAAGAAAGAAAGACAGAAAAAGACGTAAAGGAAAGGTTATAGAAAGGGAAAAAAAAGATATCACAATGCAGAGAAAGAAAGAATGCAACTGGATGTAAAGGAAGGACAAAAGAAAGGAAAAGGGATTTGCAAATAAGAAAGAAAATAAGAAAGAAAGAAAGAAAGAAAGAAAGAAAGAAAGAAAGAAAGGCGCAAACAAACAAACAAACAGACAAACAAACAAAAACAAGTCTGAATGTGAGGGAGAAAAATTTAATAAGATGTCAAGTAGAAATGCCATAATGTGAGGAAAAGGGAGAAAAAGGGGGGAAAAAGAAAGAAATTGATAAAGAAAGAAAGGAAACAGAATACAGAAAAAAAAGATAGCAACATACAGAAAAAAGAAGCAGGAAAGAAAGAAAGAAAGAAAGAAAGAAAGAAAGAAAGAAAGAAAGAGAGAAAGAAAGAAAGAAAGCGTATATAAAAGGAAGACAAAAGTAAGGAAAAGGGTTAAGAAAGAAAGAAAGAAAGAAAGAAAGAAAAAAGAAAGAAAGAAAGCAGATATAAAAGGAATACAAAGAAAGAAGTAGAGGAAAAGGGATTTGCAAATAAGAAAGAAAGAAAGATACAAAGAAACAGAGAAAGAAACAAACAAAGAAACAAAGAAACATCAAGAACAAGTATAAGAAAGCGTATATAAAAGGAAGACAAAAGAAAAGAAAAGGGTTAGGAAAGAAAGAAAGAAAGAAAGAAAGAAAGAAAGAAAGAAAGAAACATCAAGAACAAGTTTGATTGTGAGGGAAAAAAAAATTTAATAAGATGTCAAGTAGAAATGCCATAATCTAAAAAGAATGACAACCATACAAAACGAAAAAAGAAATGATTGAAAGAGATAGAACTTTAAATGTGTGAATCATTTTTTTTTAAAAAAAGAACTCATATTTTTTTTAATATCAGCCTTTATACAATGACTGATATTGTCCAGAGTACACGAACGACAATGGTGATCGGATTATTACTAATACCTTCACACCATGCAAACATTGAAGTCAGCACTGAAAGGCGACAGGCTGTTTCATGCTAGATGCAATCGTCAGGCCTGACGATTGCGTCTAGCATGAAACAGCCTGTTGCTTCTATGTGTTGACTTCAATGAATGTTCACTTTTATATTTACACACGCTCTCTCTCTCTCTCTCTCTCTGATATTGAGCACTTTATTCCATAAATATACCACACCTTAAGAGTATATTTCTTCATATATATATATATATATATATATATATATATTAAAAATCAGGATGTCACTTGAATGCGCTACCTTAGTTTCAACCTTACTGTATCCTCAGGCGAATTTTATCAAATCCTTGCTTACATATCAGAAAATTTTTCTTAAGTGCATATGATGCTGGCTAAAAAATTAATTTAACCCACCCCCCACCGATGCATTTACAATATACTTGCTTTTCTTCTTCTTCTTTTTTTTCTTCTTCTCCTTCTTCTTCTTCTTCTTTTCTTCTTCTTCTTCTTCTTCTTCTTCTTCTTCTTCTACACATGCTCCTTCTCCCTTTCTATTACACCCAATGCCGTGTGTTTGTTCATTTAATTTTGAAAATAATGATACAGCGTTCTCTAGTTTTTTCTTTTTTTTTTAAAAAACAAAAAAAAAACGCTTGGGGGTCATTTGATAAAAATCGCCTGAGGATAGCTTAAGATTGAAATCAAGGTAGCGAATTCAACTGACCTCCTGATTTTTAAAGCTAAAAGCTCTACATGTTATTTTTACTTTTGTTTTTCTTTCACACGTGTATTAAGCCCTTTTTAACACCACTATTTCCTGGTCTGATTCAACTCTGACCATTAACCTTTTTATGTATTACTAGCAGTAGAGCCCGGCGTTACCCGGGGATGTAACAGTAAGAGATAGATCAAGTATCGACCATCATAAAGACTGAAAAATAAAACTGACAAAGATTATTGTTTAAGGTTGACGGACACGCATGTCTTAGTTTTTTTTTTTTGTTTTTTTACGAATTGGTCAAACCCAAACTCAAAAAAAACATTGTTTTCAATCGTTATGAGTCTCTACCGATTGAATAGAATTTTATTATAAACAATTGTCTTGTAAATGGAATTTTTAAAGCATTCTGAATGTAAAAATAAAGAAAAAAGTGTGCAAGACAATAAGAAACACTACCTGCCAAAAAAAAAGTGAAGTTTTGTTGGAATCGGTTGAAAAATGTAGGAAATCCGATCCCATATATAAACGAACACACACACAAACAACCTGGGTTTTATAATAAGTATAACTCGATATGAGTTGTCCCCCTTTCATTCTCGTGATGCCTCTTAATCGTATTTTCAAATTGATTTCGTGCAAAAACAATTATGTTTTTCCCATTTTTGGCGCTGTCAGAACCACCGCAAGGTAATTTTACGTAGTCCTGTGAAGTTTTGTTGGAATCGGTTGAAAAATGTAGGAAATCCGATCCAACACACACACACACACACACACACACACACACACACACACACACACACACACACACACACACACACACAAACACAATCTGCGTTTTATAATAAGTAAGATATATGTTGCCGAAATTTCGAAATAATTCTATTCTTTTGATTTATTAATCCATCACGTTCTTAAATTCTATGTTTTTAAATTTCATTTCCGTACAATTTCTTTCTCTTGTTGTCTTCGTCTTCTTTTACTATCTTCCATTCTATTACTGATGTTTTCTCTTTCGATTTTATTTTTCATGGGATTTGACAACATCGTCATATTTTCATACCTCTTATAGTGGAAAGATAGCAACTGGCTTCATTTTCTTCGTGGCCAAATCGGTAAAGGCACGTCAAGCTAAATGACGGTTCCGTATAGGATACAGGTTCGAATCCTGTCGGAGAACGAATATTTTCTATGAAAATTTCTCGGACATTCAGGCCGGTAAATGTTGTTTAATACTGTTTTTTATAAACAGAGCATTTACTTAAATATGTGTATCTATAAAAAGAATGTTAAACATAAAAATGTCTTAATATATATAATTATTTATTTAAAAATATGATTCCTTCGCTTCATAAGAGTTCTCATGTTTCAAAACAAGAGCCGAAAACTTCAATATAATTATTTGAATTAAAGTACCAAGCTCTGTTCCATCTTCAAGCAAAATTTTTGGTTTGATTCTAAAAATTTCGCTTGAAGATGGAATAGAGCTTGGTACTTTAAATCAATTTAATTTACAATTTATATTTAGGCTCTACTTTTGTATCGAGCACTGTTTTTTGAAAAATAATAGCAAAAATACTAAAGAACTTAGTATTATTTACCTAACGAGTTCTTTCCTATTTTCTATACATTTTCACACACACACACACACACACACACACACACACACACACACATATATATATATATATATATATATATATATATATATATATATATATATATGCACATTTCATTGAATACGACAGACAAGGTGCTTTTATTTAGTTTTTTTTATACAATGTCTCATGCGATCTAATAATTTTTTTCTTTTCGGATGATAAATTAGATAAAAACTGTCCGAATGTTCTTTTTATCCGAGCGCTTTCGGCTATACATTTAGCCATTTTCAATAATAATTTAAGTATATATTTTCATTAAGTAAAAATAATTTATGCTTGTGCAATAGATGAAAACATTGTTAATAAATGAATTTAATATTTTAAAATTGTTATATTGGAATTAAGTGTCAGCTACGACACTTGAGTTTGAACATAGATCGTCAGTGACCAAACACTGGAGATATTTTTTCAATTAAGTGGATCACGTGACCATAGAGGAAGACTTACATAACAAATATGGCGCCAGTTTGTTTACATTGCGCAGATCAGTACGAAAATTTCAGAGATTGCACAGCTCAGTGTTGCTAATATTGTGTGAAAATTTTGTGTGAATTGATTGGACGTTTTTTGAAATATTAGAAAAAAGTTATCTCGATATTAATTTGGCACGCAGTGTAGAAGGTCCTCTGGTTACGGCGTTTCGCCACATAATATAATATGTCGTCCCGTGGCGGTATATGAAGACGACGGCGTTGTTTCTTCACCAGCTCTACGTCATACTGAATTGTGCCATATTCGCTACCTCTTGTTTGTGTTGTTATTTGGGGGAATATTTTGCCCTTCATTGTGGCCGCACCAAGCGTAAAGCAGACTTATGTAGGTGAGTTCCTACCTACGTCGAAAATCAGTTTACGTCGCACCGTAACGCGGTTCAGCCGTAAGGATTTCATCGGACGGGGCTTTGTTGACGTTGCCACTTATAGAGATGCGCACGAAACGAGAGACGCAGACAATTTCAAAATTTCTGAAAGAATATTTTTGAAATAATTTTTTTTCTCAATCTAGCCAAATTATACATCTTTTTTGATGTCAACGAATACACGTTGTCCCTTTCGTAATGCTCGTTGTAGTAGAGACTTTGTAATCGCAGATACAACTATAGTAACGTCGTTGAACAATACTGGTGTCAGACGCCTTCGAATATCACTTGCACTAATAGTAGTTGCTCGATAATAATCGCTCGAATAGTAACCCGTATGGTGATCCGTATAGTAATAGAGGATAGAATAGAAATGGTGATCAATTAGACGTCACGCTACTTTCTGTTTATGCATTTTTCTCAATGGTTACGTGATCTACTTAATTCAATAACGGGATTGCCTGTGTTTACTCTCTGGCGATCTATGTTCAAACTCAAGTGTCGGCAGCGACACTTTATTCCTGTATAACAATACTAGCAATATAACCCGTCTTCGACGGGGTCTTTCATTACTGGGAATTTTTGCCGTTCAACTGGAGCAGTTTAAGTTTAAAGTCAGCCCACCCGAAAATTAATATGAGTAAAAACAATTGGGTGCAATTGAGGCACATCCCCAAATTGTGGGGGGGGGGTTAACAATTTGAATTGGTGGGGGTGGCCCTGAAAAGGTACGTTTTTGCGTTCGAAAGTAAGAGAGATAGAAACAGAATGAGTGAGGAATAAAAGGCGAGAAGTTAAGAGAGATAGATAGATAGATAGATAGATAGAGAGAGAGAGAGAGAGAGAGAGAGAAAGAGAGAGAAAAGGAGTGAGTGAAAAAGCAAACGGAAGAGGATAGAGAGAGAATGTAAAGGAATGAAGTAAGAAAACAAGAAGAGTGTCGATCAAAAAAGGAGGAGGGGGAGTAGTTAGAAAGCAAGAAAGACAAAGTGAAAGGAAGGGAGATAAAGCCGGGAAAGAAAGGGAGTGGTTTGAGAGAAAATGAAGGGGGAGCGGAGTAAGAAGGCAAGAAAGAGTTTCATAAGGGAGAAAAGGAAGTAAAAGATGGTGAAAAGTAAGAGTTTAGAGAGAGAGAGAGAGAGAGAAAGAAAGAGACAGTGAAAAAAGAAAATAAAAGTGAGGGAGAGACTGAATGAATGAAGTTTACAATTTGTTAGTATGTACGTATTGTTGGTAAAGCATTTCATTTTCTTTGTTTCTGACGAGAGAGGACATAGGTCACTGAAACGAAAGAATATGGCGGCGAGAAAGAAAGGGAGATAGATTAAAGAGAGAAATAAAAGAGACAGTTTAAAAGCAGATGAGAGACGTAAGGAAGAGGACGTAATAGAAAAAGAGAGAAGGAAGCAACAAG